CCGAATCACTTCTTATATGGATCTGTTTTCTAGCGTGCAACGACCTGAACTATAAATGCAATTGTACCAATAGAAGGGAATATATGTAGCTCAGGGTTGAACTGTGGAGTCCTTGGGGTTCTCTGAGTTTGGTTGTTTTCTTGCAAATGTTTCGTTACCCGGCTAGGTAACATCTTCAGTGCACTGAAGCCAGGTAACCAAATGTTTGCAAGAAAACAACCAAGCTCAGAGAACCCCAAGGACTCCACAGTTCAACCCTGAGCTACATATATTCCCTTCTATTGGTACAAATGCATTTATTGATCAGGTCGGTGCACGCTTCAAAAATGATTCATATAAGAAGTGCTTCGGATCTCACTCAAATACATCCCACAGCTGTTCATTCAAAGGAGAAAAAGGACAGGTCTAAAAACCAAAAAAAGTAAGGGGAATGACAGTATCTCAAGTGTCTGAAAAACATATTCTGTTGTATAAATTCCTTTGTCAAGGACACAGCAAAAGAAAACATATAAGCAGCATACAGTTTTAACAGTTGTAAAGCATTTGTATATATAGTGTTTAACAAACTACATCATTTAGAACTTATCTTAGTTTCTTCTTTTGAAGACTGACAAAATCAGAATTTGGAATATATCTCTAACTACAGATGTTTTGTCTTTTTATGTTTTGATTTGTTGTGTTCTTTTTTATTTCCTTTTCTCTTCAGGTGGGGTGAATTGTTTGTTTCTATTCCATATATGTTTGTTTGAAAATGGATTAATAATTTTTAAAAAATAGAATGTATACAGGTAGTCCCCGAGTTAAGAATGCCCGGTTTACAAATGATCCATAGTTAAGAACAGAGCCTATTGTAGCAAAATTTGAATTAAATACACAATGATTTGATTTAAAAACACAATGGTTCAAGTTAATTACACAATACTACTTATACAATATTATACAATAATAGTGTTCCGGCTTATATACAAATCTGACTTAAGGACAGACCTTGAGAACAAAATTCATTCTTAAACTGGGGACTACCTGTACATTAATTTGAAACCAAATTAGGGAAGAAATGCTAAGAAAAAATCAATCTATCAGATACCTTGAAGATATAAAAAAGCAACAATTTAAGAGAATGAAAGACCCGCACATTTGGAGGAGAAATTTTAACTGTTTAAAACCTGTATTTAAAATGATCTTGTTGGCCCATCTTCAAATATTATTTATATTTTGCATTCTGTTATAAGCACAATGACCCACAAATATCTCTATTAGGTTTCTAAAAACGCTATGATTTTTAACAATGCTGTTTTTAACATAGACCAAATGTTCATACAATTCAGAGTACAACAAAACATAGAAATAAAACTATAATATTACAGTTGTAAAACAATTGTAATTTCTAGCATGCAAGTGATCAACTGCCCCCTATGTAAACCCAGAGTTTCCCTAATAACCATCATGTTTGAACAAAATTTTGCAACCTGTTTACAGATTACTTGAGAAACTGTCTGCTAACCAAAAAAAAAACACATTCCCTTCTACAGAGCACCTCAAGCCCATTAATAAGAAGAGGTGATGTTAGAACAGAGTATAATGGAGAAGGCTGCTTTTAGAAAAAGTTTAAATGTATAAGAGAAAGACTCATAACACAGTTTTTTTTTGTTTTAATAAAGCATATTTGTCCTACCTGTCCTTGCCATTTTGAGTAGAAAATGCTAGCAAACTTACTTGGATAAATAACAGTTTTTAAATCTTTTAACATGAATGAGCTTTTCTTAGCATACAAAAATGTTCATATGGGACAGATGGCTTATAAAATCTAACTGAGCAAAATAATAAGGTTGGCTGGGGAAAAAAATTGCTGCGGCTTTATGGAACCCCTTCATTCAAGTTAGGGCAATTCTTAAAGCAAAAGTCCCTTTCTTTCAGTTTTTATGCAGAAGCCTGAAAGATTGGGCTCCTTTAATGAATAGTAGAAAAGTCCTGTACTTATTCCATATCTGAAACACTTCTTGAAAATCATTTTTGAGGCATGCACTTATATTCAAATTGGGAATTCATTATCATTTTTTAAAAGTATATAAATGTGTATGTGTGTGTATAATTTATGTTGGTTTGGCAGATTCTTAGAAAAGACTATCCGGTCAGCTGTTGAACAACATCTTTTTGATGTTCATGGCTCTAGTGGTCAAAGTTCAGAAGAATCTGAATCCGGAACGTCATTAACATCTTCCAGTGTATCTGCCTGGCAGCGCAGGCGACATCATAAAGAACAAGATGAAACCCGAAGGACCAGAGATATGTATGTTGGTGCTTTTTTTCTTCTGTTTCAGAGATCTGTCATAGCAATTGTCAGATAGTTGCAAACGGCTGATTTTTTTTTTCCCTGAGGTTGCCCAGAAGCCTGATGCGCTCCAGAGCAAATATTCTACTTATTTTAATTATTATCACAATTAGCTGATTCTTGCTGAAGTTCTCTAATGCAGGTTGCTGTTGGCAAACATTAGTCGCAGATGTGAAATCCTAGTTATATCATTAAGGTAAAATTACATAATTATCTCAGAACATGTTGCTCCGACAAATACCAATCCTAGTTTAGCAATCAGGTCATATCGCTAGAGAAATAAATGAGAGCGCAATGTTGTATTCAAAAGGAAGAATTTGTTTACAATGCAGAACCCATATTAATCTTATTCATGTGCTTTCTTGAAAAACAATCTTCTAGATTGTTTAAAAGTTATACATACATTCGTGTTTGGAGATACAAACCCCATCTTCTTCCCTTACAAGATAAGGACAATTATGCAGAGCACCGAAAAGGAAAAAAAAACAGAAAGCCAAAGAAATGAAAGGTGTGAGATAAGAAAAGAAAAGACAGAGAGCTTAAACAACACCAATTACTATATATCTGCATGTTTTTCTGGCATTGTTTCTTCCACTTCCATATGCTCCTTTCCACATTGCCTTTGTCCCTTAAACTTTCCACCTCTTTGAGATCTCATCAGCTCTTTCTTTCTTCATATATTTGGTTTGTGATTTGATCCTTGCTCATTCTCTATATATGGCCAAACCATCTCTTTTGAACTGGTCACTCACTTTTGTATCCAGTCTGCATTCAGTCAGCACCCATTCATTCTTAACCCCATCATTTCTTCCTTTATCACATACACTTCTTAAGCACTCCATTCCCACTCCATTTAACTATTATCTTTCTCCTGACATACCCAACTTGACTTCCATGAAATATATTCTTAAGCACGGTCATTTTTACTTCTTTGTTTACAAACATTCCTTCCTCACAACATGTACTACCATGTCTACCTTTCTGACTGCATCTGTGCATCTTAAAAATTGCCCATCATTTGTCCACCTTATTCAGCATTCTGTTAAGCTTACCCAAATTCTTCTGCTTTACTTTTTTTTACCATTTAGGTGTAACTTCACTCCATTTTCCAGGTCAACCTCAGACTTGGTCTTCAATATAGTAAATTCAGATCCATATTCTTCATTCCATCATATTGTCAGTCTCATACATGTTGCAAATAATTCAGGCTCTCAACTGACATTTATTTTATTATTTATTTATTAAATTGATATGCCGCCTATCTCCCCCAGAGGGCGACTCTGGGCGGCTGACAATTAAAATCCAAAACAGTAAAAACAAAAATATAAATATCCATCTAAAAATAACTAATTTTAATTTTAAGACATCATCTACATACAAAAGTTTACCTACATTCATGTCCTTAGCGAACCACTTCTCCAAACTACAGCTGAAGAGAGCACCTCAAAATAACCATGATAGGAAGTGAACAAAAATAGGAGACAGGGAAGTTACTGGGAGTTGTAGTTCAGGAATGTCTGAACAATTACAGTTCTTTTTTCCTGTGATCTAAACAAATGTTGTCTACTATAACCAGCTATTGTTCTTCAGTCTTGGTCAGAGATCTTTTGCATCATGTGTGGCCAAAAAAAAAAAAAAAAGCTTTGCCGTACAGCTATATCTCCATTTCACATTTTGTTTCTACCTCAGGACTCTCACATAACAATTGCATGTAAATTCACCAGAAAGCTTCGCTGAGTGCAATTTGCAAACATCTCATTTCTAATAGGGTTGAACAATTCATTCCAGAATAGCAGCATTTTGTCAGTCTTATTCTTTTAGCCTTTATAATCTTTTACCAATCTGAGCCCAGAACAAACTGAACCGTGATATGCTGAGATTGGAAGAGATACCTAGTTTTAATATGCAAAAAGTCCTGCACAAGGTTCTTTGATTCTACCTAACAGAATCATTTACATGGAATAGATTTATGAAAACATAATAAAAACAGATTGTCAGATTTCATAAATGAATCCCCGATAAACCTTCTTTGCTTCTATCAACAACATATTGTCAGGTTGCATTAAGCCATGATTTAAAAATTTTCTGAACAGCTTTGACTTCTTGTACACAATGTTAAGACATAAACCGTCATTCGTAAACCACAATGGCTGGCTTCACTTATGCCCATTAGAAATGTCCTCAACAGGCAGTTCTGTCTTTCAGTCTCCTCTAGTTCTGCATGCAGTCTCATTTTGCAGATTTAGCTGTTTTATTACTCTCGTGGAAACAGTCCTGTCTCTTAAAAAAGTTAGACATGGTCTATAAAACTACAACACTGAAAATACATTTGGATGCTTGAAATAAATTCAAAAGGACTCCTGCCCTAATGAATATGTTTAGCTATTTTGTATTCCATTTCTGGCAGTGCTAGGTAACAGGTAATGGGGCTGTTTCTGCTCAACCAAGGAAACTCCATCATTCTTTCAGGGTTTGGATTCTTAACTTTTCAGCATTTTAGGGTTTATTCCTTGGCACAGTAATAATGCTTCTTGTCTCCGAGGCTACAGAAATGCACATATAGAGAAGAGAAGGAAAATTCTGGTAATGAAGAAAATGTAATTTTTTACTTTAATAAAATATGTCGCTTGTGGAAAGGGAGGTTGGAACATCACAGTTTTCCTCACTTTTTAACCTTTCCTGAAAGGATTTGGCAGAAAATAAACATTTCCCAGAATGTCTGTGTTTGATGTCTATTTTTCAGTCATTCAATCTAAAAAATGAATACACTTTTACTTCCATATATGTATGAAACTTTTTATCTTGTGAAATAATACAGTCATAATTTTAAAAGTTATCCAAAGTTTAACTGACTACTGGGGTAGCAGGGTTTTTTTTTTTTTTTTTTTAACAATTACAACCAAGGGGATTTGTGGCTAAGTTTTTAATGAATACTGTAGCTAAATTAGATCCAGGCATACATAATGTCTGATTCCATAAGAGATTTATGTGTTAGAATGGTAATCTGTATAAATTAGAAACAAGCCTGTGAGGGAATTTCCTGTGAAGCTGTTCCTCTATTTCTGCTGCACAATGACAGAAAAGAAGAAATACAAACCTTAGTGCTTGTATACATCTGTTTAAATATGTTTGATGGAAATTCTTCCGGATATTCTGATTTTCCTGGAAGGCTTGTCTAGTACTACATAATCAGGAATGAAAGTTGCTTAGCATGCCCTGTGTTAGATTGGATTCAGTTTCTGTTCATCACTTGACAGTAGGAAGGTATGGAAAATCCTGCATCCTGTCATGTATCCTCTTCCTTCTCCTCCTCCTCATTATTATTATTATATTTCATGCTGGAAGTCATAGCATTCACTGTCATTTATATGTCAACCTTTTCCTATGGAATTCCAGACAGTATCCCACCCAGGCATTGTTCAAGCCCCATTCTGCTTCACTTCAGTTACGTTGCTGTGTCACTTGCCTTTATGTTAGGCTAGATATGGGATGGGTAATTAAGTTCCTATGACACACCTCTTTATACCAGCCCCACTGAACTTTAATGTTTAAACATTTTTTTTAACCAGTAAATAAAAAGTTTACACATCGTAGAACAAAGTGCCAGGTTCTACCCTCATTTTTACTTTTGGCATATGGCCATTATTAGGTGACTAGAAGATATGGCAGAGAATAGTCTTGACAGTTTGCTGTTTGTGAACAGATAAGCTTCAGCCATGATAAGCATTTTGTGAAGGCTTACAGTAGGTTTTCAGAATTCCAGATCTGTCCATTGGGCTCCTTGTTCTGCACTAAAGGTAGACTTTGCAGATTCTTTGAGAAAGGTACCAAGAGACTTAGGGGGGTAAGATATCTGAGGAAGTATAGGGTGTAAATATTTTTCTAGAACTTGCAAAGTTAGAATAATTGCTTGCCTTGCCTTTATGAGTAGAATGGAAATTATCTGGAACCCTATATTTTTTCTCCCTATGCAGGGAGGTCATCAATAAAGAGAATATTCCTTCTGGCTTCAGCAGCATTGAAGAGTGTATGCTGAATGCTCAGGAAGTGGAAAAATGCCAAGAAAACAGCTCTGGTTATATTGCGGAAAGAAGTAAACCAAAACGTCAGAAATCCAGCACCAAACTATCTGAGCTTAACGACAACCAAGACAGTTCTTTGGTAAGCAAAACTATGAAAGTCAAGTCTTCAAATGTCATACTGAGATTTGAGTCTGTTTCAAACACCCAGCTCATAACATTGTCTGAATTTCAAGTGGTCCTGATTGATTGCTCATGCTGAATAGCTCTGCAAGATATCCTTGGCCATTTGAGTGTAGCATTAAGAATGGCCCCAGAGTCTGAAGTTTGCAGGTAGCACCTGCATTCAGTGGGCAAGTGAGGAACAAGCTTAAATAATACAGAATTTGTCTATCACGCTATTCAGTAATCCAGAGTTTTCTGTCAAAAGTCAGGAAAATCATCAAAAATTCCTCCACAGCAGAAGATGAATATGTACAATGATGTACTGTACATTTGTGTTTATTTTTGTGATATTTGTATACTGCTTCGTTCACAAGACTCTGGGGGAGTAGAACAGGAGAAAAACAAAACCATGAAGAATATAAAATCCCTAAACCTCAATTAAATAACTATAATCTTAATAGTAAAACTGGTGGTCACCCACAATCTTACTATGGGCTGATGACCCACTGAAGTAAAATAGTCTTCAAGTCTTCCAAAACAAGGGAATGGACAGGGCCAAACATACTTCTATGGACAGAAATTTTCAAAATGTGGGGCTATTACAAAGTGTGCCACCTAGCCCACATTCTCTGAATCTCATAGGACTGTCAACAGACCCTTTCTAGATATTTGGATCAGATGGCCAGAATCCTACTTGGCAGAGTGGTCCCTGATATATCTTGGTGCCACACATTATAAGGCTTTATATGCAAATAACATTTTAAAGTAGGTCAGAAGCTTACAGGTAGCCAGTGCAGTGCTATGATTCTGCTATAGCATTGTTTCTCAATCTTGACAACTTTAAGACGTGTGGACTTCAACTCCCAGAATTCCGCAGCTAGCAATTTCTGGCCATCACATTCTGCACTGCTTTTAGCTTCCAAGTCATCTTCAGGTCATGAGTTTCATGGTGACAGTTGATGCCAGATTGGTTTCTTTTGCATATTCAGAAATTAATTATGTCATTGTTGTAGCTTTCCCATACTGTATTCTGAAAGTTTTAGTCCTATCTTACTTGAAAGGTATCAGGTTGGGCAAGGTAATTCTCTCTTTTTTAAATAATAATTGTATTAAGCATTACAGTTATACAGATAAAAACTAATACAAACTACAAAAAATAAAAGAATAAAAAATAAAAAGTACAGAAAAATAAATCCACTTTATATTCCTTTCTTTTACTTTTAACAATCTTAATCTTTAATCCCTTCAAATAATGTCCTAGAGCTTGTTTTCTTTTCATTTTTTCTTTGTCACTTCTCCCAAAACCCTTCAGAAGTTTAATAGGTCTCTTTTGTAAATCCAATATATAAAAAATATCCAAGTCGTTATTTTGGTTTGCCATTTGTATATCCCTTTTAATTATTAAAACATCAGCTGTTTTCATCTGTATATCCAGCGTAACATCTTTTTCCATATTGTTCTCGTAGCTTGACATTTTTAAATCCACTTTCAGATCAATCTCAGTCTTATTGGATAAAATTTATTCCTCTTCCTTCACATCTGAACTCATCTGTGTTTTAGAGATTTCTAATATTTCAGTTCTACCTTCAGGGTAATTTTAGAAAGAGATTGGTGTTCTCTTGAATGCAAAGGAAGGACAAGAAAGCAGAAGCACAAGTAGATCTCTCTGAGCTAGTCTAAGACAGATATAGGTTAATTAATTGGTTTTCCAACAGCCTGAAAAGAAGATACTGTGATGTGGCCAGCAAAAAGAATCGTGGTAGTCACATTGTGCCAAGCCATTATGTCATTGTTTGCTTTCAGCTTAACATCATATGAAACCAGCTGTTTTATTTATTTATAAATACATGCATGTGTGCATACAATTATATTTAGGCTGTCTACTTTCCCAGAAAGACTAGAGGTGGTTTCCAGTCATAAAACAGCAAGGCAATAAAGTAATAACCCAAGTAAATTAATCTATCCCAAGTCAATCCTTGAGTCAACAGCAGTCATATGCCCTTTGGAACAACAGTGTGGCTTTACTCAACAGATCAGGGTTAAAGCAAAGTATGATGTAAACCAACCATTTTCATAGGAAACTCAAGTCTGCCAGTGTATATTGGGGTGAGGCCCTTGGAGAAAGCTCTTGGGATAAGAGAGATATTTCAGGGGAGGCTTATAATATTGCACTAGAGCAAAACTTCAGCATTCAATCTTGCTTTGGATTCACATTCTAATTTCCCAGTCTTCCCTAGGTTATAGAACTTCCCTTCTTTAATCATGATCACACATTGCATAGCAGTGTGACAACCCACCTTCCCTGAGTCAGTAGACCTCCTGCTACCCCGTCCTTCATAGTTCCTTGCTATTTCACTACTTATATCATAAATAGCATTCCTCAGTGTGGATGGAACACAACTATGCCGTTCAGTTAAATAGGCTGCACTGACTGGGAGTTGAAATCCCAAACACATTTGGAGGAGGTGTCCTCTTGGTTTTTAGAGCTGATGTTTAAAATGATGTATCTTAGCAATTGTCTCACTGTTTGACAGACGATGGAAACCTTTGGTTCCTTGAGACATGTAGACGGAAGAAGACCGGATGACATGGAGGTGTTTTCTGAAGAAAGGTGACTCGCTTAGAATTTACTCTGTCTTAAAATGTCAGTTAAGGCCTGTACTAGAGAATCCAATTATTCTTTGAGACCAGTTTCATTGCATAGAGAAAAAGGCTAACTTTAGATTCTTGTATGCCTGCATATATCCTCTCTTGAAAATTCTATTATTTTCTAGAAAGAGCTGTTTTAACATTATAATGAATGCATTATTTTATGTATTTATATTGTATTTCACTTCTGTTAATTGTAGGTTGATCTCTTGGCTTTTCCATGCAATCTCAAAGAAGGAATTATAAAGCATGATCTGAAACTTTAACTTTTATTTTCACTCCTTTTTTTTAAAATGTAGTTTTTATTATTACCAAAAAGAAAAATAGAATGTTGCTTGTTGCTTCCTTTATGACATGCTCCTTAATCCTTTTTTTCTTCTTCTTTTTTTGTAGCAAAGACAGCAAAAGCGAGGATGATTTGTTAATGCACAATCAGGTGTGTGTCCATTTGTACCATGTGCAAAACAAAATTAAAGTAATAAAAATAAAGTAATAATCACATTAATAATGAAGCGGAAGTAATTAGAATGCTGAATCTAATTCAGGTTATTTTTCTTAGAAAAGTTCAGATATCATCAGCTTTGATTTTCAGATGCCAGATTAAAATAGCTTTATTTATTAATTTACTTACTTGTTGGGCTTATAGGCTGTTCCAAGCACAAATGATTCTGAGTTTTAATTTTGATAATAATTGAAATCATTTAATTAGTGTGTATAAAATCCTACAAGCTAGGCTTCAGCAATACATGAACCGAGAACTACCGGATGTGCAAGCTGGGTTTCGAAGAGGCAGAGGAACTAGCGATCAAATCACCAACATTCGCTGGATCAACACACACCTGATTGTGCATTAACAAATCATCCTCGCTTTTGCTGTCTTTGCTACAAAAAAAGAAGACACACACCTGATTGTGCATTAACAAATCATCCTCGCTTTTGCTGTCTTTGCTACAAAAAAAGAAGACACACACCTGATTGTGCATTAACAAATCATCCTCGCTTTTGCTGTCTTTGCTACAAAAAAAGAAGACACACACCTGATTGTGCATTAACAAATCATCCTCGCTTTTGCTGTCTTTGCTACAAAAAAAGAAGACACACACCTGATTGTGCATTAACAAATCATCCTCGCTTTTGCTGTCTTTGCTACAAAAAAAGAAGACACACACCTGATTGTGCATTAACAAATCATCCTCGCTTTTGCTGTCTTTGCTACAAAAAAAGAAGACACACACCTGATTGTGCATTAACAAATCATCCTCGCTTTTGCTGTCTTTGCTACAAAAAAAGAAGACACACACCTGATTGTGCATTAACAAATCATCCTCGCTTTTGCTGTCTTTGCTACAAAAAAAGAAGACACACACCTGATTGTGCATTAACAAATCATCCTCGCTTTTGCTGTCTTTGCTACAAAAAAAGAAGAATATGGTTCATGGGGTCACGAAGAGTCGGACACGACTTAACGACTAAACAACAAAACAACATATGCTTTTATATATAATTTTAAATGAATTTTAATTCATCAAAATTAAATATTTTACTAGTTCTTGATTTTTTTAAATTTGAATTTATTTTAATATTTATAATAAGCTTCCTCGAAAACTGTTTTAAGTAGCATTTAAGAAAACTATTGATCTGGACTTGATCATGAATCAGTGCAAGTGAACCAGTGTAGCTGTTTGTACTTGGAAACCAGAGACCAGATTTCTGGAGGGGATCTAAGATTGGCCAAATCTGCTTGGGTTCACATATCGCCCTGAGCTTCTAGATATATTTCTACCCCAGATGTAGAAGTAAAACAATACAATTATCATCCTGGTAGAAGTGAGAGGCTGAAGTTTAAGAGAAGATTGCTCAACCTTACTTGGTTCTTGGCAGAGATGAAATTTAAACCAGAGAACTTTATGATTCATAAAGAGATTAAATTTTTCTGCAACTATGTTATGCTAGGAATCTAGCACCCTGGTTTGTTAGTAAGTTTTATACCTACTGGGGAAGGCTAAGTTTGTTCCAGGCATTATGAAAATAGCCTGGGTTCATTGTTTTGATCTGATGAAATAACTGTTCCCTTGTTTTTGACTTTCTCAATACATTTTTCTCTAATCTTGATGGATTTTTTTCCTCTTCCCTTAATAATTTTGCTTGTGAATTGAAATTTATTCCTTCCTTTTGAGATTGAGAGGTTAAGAGGGGCAGACCCATCTATAGAGTGACAGTTCCCTGTCCATTTTGTTTTCCTTTCCATTCATGATTGGTCCTTTCTTTATAGAAATTATCTTTAGCATATTATTTTCCAAAAGCAAAGAGAATTTGGAAGGCTAGAGACAGAGATGCTTCAAGATTTCATTATCTTTTTCAAGGAAGTTGTTCATTTAGTCTAAGAGAGATACGACTGGAAATAGTGCTGGAAATGACAAATCAGTTGGCTGTGCAAAGATAAAGACGCTCTTTAACCTGCATTTATCTTGCCAATTTGCATGGATGACCTTATTATGCATAATTCATTCTACATCCACAGATCTTAGGAGAGGGACAGGAGTCTTGCTGGTTGTTTTGCCCTATGGCTGCTGAAAATCTTTTTAAACACCTTCTCGGAAGTCACCAGTTTTGCAGATTTTGTCTTTGCCCTTTAAAGCATATCATGACAATATATGCTTTAGCAAATTTTTTTTTTAAAAAATATATATTTGGAAAGTTGAAGTCTGTGGCTAAATTCAAATGCTGTTGTTGGTGCTTATGTGGAATTATGGCATGCTTATAATAGTTTGTTAAATAAGCATAACTACCCAGTGTTAAATTGAAATCAGTGTTTTGATCCAGTGAGGCTGCAGGATGCCAGGGAGGGTCTGTATAGCAAGTTGTACAATAGGAGGAAGACATTTGTGACCTCATGGTTTGTATTCTTTCCCCTCCAAAAATGTCCTCCCCACAGGGCAGCCATGTATATGGGTCACTGTTGAATTGCTGCGGTGATACAGTTGGAAGCTTAGATCAAGATACTGTGTATTTAGCAAGAGTACAACTCTACCTTATGTTTTTAATTCCATTGCCAACTCTATTGATAAGTAAAGTCTTGTCTCCTTTGAGTTGAGCTCACCTCTGATAACTTCATGAACACATCATGTACATTTCTAAGCAACAGTAAATTGCTTCTTCTGGAATGCTTTTCTGACTTCCCAGGCTAGTCTGCAGTCCTTGGATTTCTTGGCACTTTCGCACTGAAGCAGTCCAACCTTGCTTAGCTTTTTGAAATCAGCCAAGGTTACTAAGTGTTTACATGGGCATAAATAAATATGGTTTCTAGGGAATCTCTTGTTTTTAATGATCACAGAATGCTGGACATTAAATAATGCTCTTATTGGAAAGTTTTCTTGGATCATTGATTGCTATGGCTAATCTCTGGGTTTTCTTGCAAGTTTTCATTGCAGAGAAAGACATACAACCTGGAATGGGCAAAGCATTCAAAAAAGGTGCAGAGCCTCTCATGCATGTGAGCGGAGATAGCTTTCAAAGCAGCCACATGAGTCTTGCAAAAGATGTGGGTGCTTTAATAATTCAAAGAGAGGTACTTCATTTGTCCTCCCACATGTTGTAATGCACCTCTTTTGATTGCTTTACTTAATAGCAAAAAAAAGGCTGGCTTGTATTTTTTTTTCCTTCTACTTAGAATCTTTATTCCCCTCTAGTGTCCAGTTTCTAAAATCATAGTCATTTATCTTTATTATGAACCAAGATAGCCAGAATAACTCTGGGTCCCACAAGAAGCTATTTATTTTTTATAGTTAATTCCAAAATCTTATAGCAAAATCCAATGTTCCAGATTTAACTGGACCCTATTTGTAACTTTCTTAGATCAAAATTGTATTTAGCTTTTTGCTGTTCAAGAATTTCAAATTCTTTAAGTTCTCAAGCTTGTAATTAATTTTTATTTTGTTCAGAGTTGAAATTAAACTCACCTGGCGGCTTTTCAAACTTGTCATTCCAAAGGTCTCTAATAGCTTTAATATGGTTAATAGGCAATTTCTGAATGTCATTAGAAAGTGAGGCTTAGTGTCCTTTAAAAGGCTCTGTTGCGGTCAAGATGGCTAATCCCTTTGTCTCCTGGTGCTCAAGCCCGCAGAAGACCACTGTCCTGCAGTCTCCTTGCAAGGAGCAGCCATCTGGAGTGCATTTGGATGATCTCCCATCCTCTCCTTATCCAGAGAGGTTCCGAAGAACCAGTCAACTCACCAGTTCCTTGGTCTTTGTCGGGATTGTCGGCTCCGCTTTCACGGAGATGCCTTCAATTCACCATGCCTCCCCCAGAAATCCCTTTCAGGATAATTTTACATTCCACAGTTCTTCTTAAGCCTGTTGCTTATAGTTGCGTAGGAACATATCTCATGTAATAATTTTATTTAGCCCTAACAAACAAGTACAGGCTTTCTTGCTTTTCCCTATTTATTATACCTTAAAATAGAGGTGTAGGAAAAGGTCAGACAGAACTCCTAAATATCTATAGTTGGATCTTAGTGTTTAGTTACAAAATGTCTTTTTATAATTTCAGTGACCTTGGAATATCTTATTTTTAGTAAGTGGTCCATACTTCGCCTCCTTTAATGAATCCATGCTCTTACCCCCTTGAATGGAATCCAAATCTCTATGCTCTTTTCATTGGACATGGATGGATGACAGCTACTTGTATTGTGATGTTGTTGCACAAATGTACTGTGCACCTGACTTTAAAATACATATGATTCTGGGTCTCCTAGTCTTAAAAAGAATAATGTAGTGCTGGGAAAGATGTATAAAAGTGAATAGGGAATTGGGGTCTAATTATGACTGGTAAGATCAAGGAGGAAGATCTTTGGGGAGTCGTTAATGTCTTCTTGCAAAAGGAATTGTGACCACTGCTCTGAAAGAGGCAGTGAAATGATTTCTTAGGAGACATTCCTGTAACCATTTAGACAGTTACATGCAATTGTAAATATTGCTTCTTGGGCAAACTGATGGAGAGGTTGGTGGCTGGTTAGTTACAGATGCACCTGGAGAAAGTCAGTTATGTAGGCCTATTTCAGTACAGTACTGAAACAGTCTTATTTATTACCTTTGTCAAGAAAGAATAGGAAGAGTGCTGCCCAACTAATGCTTCTAGATTTCTCTTTGCCACATGACATCATTCACCATAATGCCTTTTGAGCTGGGAATTGCAACATTTTGTGCAGTTATTTGGTTCCTGCTTATAAAACTCTTGTCAGAGATATCATCTGGCTCCTTGGCATTGGAAGAAGTCATCCCAAATTCTCTTCCTTTTTTTCTATATGAAATCACTCGGAGCTGTCATCTAGAGATTTCAAATAAGGTGTCATCCATATGTTAATGACACTCAGTTCTATTCGTTCATTCTGTCTAAATAAGAAAATGTGCCTGAAGGCAGCATGGGCAAGATGGGTG